TAATTTTCTATAATTTCTATAATACACAGTACACCATTATATGTGTATATAGTATATAAAGTTTTTTTTCCTATCATTTATTTCCACACATGATTATAACCTGTGGGAATGATCTGCATAAAATCTGCTGCATGACCTCCGCAGCCCAGTTAGTTAATAACCATCGACTAATAAGACAGAGACCTGGATGGTGTAAACATTTGCAACAGCTTTATTATTTTTTATTTTTTAGACAGAAGAAATGAATTCACCACATTTAAACAATATGTCAGCCAAATGTAAACAGTTTCGACACGTGAATAACAAACTCTCATCCGAATGGACTGAACACACTTTGAAAATAATTTTATGTTTTATTTTCCAGGACCAGTGGTCTGCTGTGACAAAAAGCAGAGCATTTGAAAAAAAACATAAAAATTGCACAAAGGTTTATCCATGGGTATTCAGGAGAAACAAATTAAGTTTCACCTCCCCCCAAAAAATATTTTTAGTCTGTTTATATTGCTTGCAATCAAGAGGAGCAATATTAGAAAAAGTCACCAAATCCATCATTGTAGACTTAAAGGGACATTCCAGCTAAATCTTAATGTCGTGATTTTGGTAAATAGATGCTCTCCCTTTTCTCAGACAATGTAAACCATTGCCATTTCTCATGAAAAGCAGTGTTTACATTTGCCTGAGAACAAGGCTCAAGTGGCTGTCTGTCTGAATACCTGTGGCCAGTTGCAGCACTTCTTAATACCTGCGTCATACTGGCGTCACAATGTACACAGACCTCCACTTGACTTCATACCGGTATCTTTTGGCAAAAATTTTGACACCAGTCGCTTTGTCACTTGTTTCATACCATGAATCAAAATAAGGATGTAGAGCATTCTGGTGACAATGTACATGCACATTCTGGACGCTTAGAAATGACTCAGGATTTTTCACGAACTCTATCTCGGTTGGCTTCTGCGAAATCCCAACAGTTAATGTATGCTTGCTTTGTCTGTCGAGTAAAAATAAAGAATTATAAAAAAAAAGAAATGACTCAGGATGTTATTTTAGGCACCAATCTCTATAACACTACACTAGCCCAACCTTTGTAAGGGTTAGTAATACACATCTATCCTTTTTTACATAGGATAGTGTAGGTTCAAGCGCTGTGCTTTGGGAAATACTGTACCATAACCAAAAGTAAAAGACAATTAAAAAGGCGTTAGTATCCTTAAGGAATAGAAACTGCAGGACCACCAGTATGAGAAACACAAGCTACACATCACCCAATAAAACAAAAACAAACATTATTTAAACGTAAACATCAACCCATAGAAATCTGCAGCTCTTTGAAATCTAAATTCCGTGGAAAACCGTTTTTAGCCGAACTACGTATCTGAGCCATTGAACGGCTCACAAAAGGCTTTGTGGCCATTTTTCCAACATATTCAGTTACAGACTTCTTGACCCAGCTGGGTGTCATCATCCAATTAATTGGACCATCGCCATCTGTTATGCGGTGTTGATTGTTTGAGAATTCCCTGGTCAGTTCCCGACAATCACTGGTTTAGTGAATAGCCTCGATAATGTTATTTTTGCAGCATTGAGGATATGAGGAGAATTTTACCAGGGACATAATAGTTCTGTTATTTTCTCTGAATGCATTATAGTATATACTCATTACAAATGCTAGATTATATGAGATTTTGAAAATCAAGAAATAATATTCAGAATGAAACCTTAAATTATGCAAGGAAACTATTAGCATCCAGATATTTGGGGGGAAATCTATGAATTGTCAAATATAGCTTTTTTGTATAAAATGGCACAACGTTTGACCCATAGTCAAACAATGCTAGAATATAATGTTTTGTAATGAAACCTGTTTTCAGCCGCCCTTGTTTTATAGGCATTTTAGAATAATGCACATTTCCAAAACAATGCAATGTGTGGTTAAAAAGGCATGCATTTCAATCCAGTTAGTGAGAAGAGATTACAGTAGACTCTTTGTGCGAAAAACAGTGCATTCATTCACAGGGGCTCAGACAAACAAGCTTTTCATATCAGTAAAAAGAAAAGATTTTTTGGTAAAGAAAATACAGAATTAACTCTGTTGGTGTTTTCTTTCAGAGGTTACTTTCAGAAGTAAAACTTCAAGTGGATAACCCGCTCCGGGGTATTAATGTTAATATCACTGCTATATGTCCAGACGGAAGCAGGCACTCAGGGACAGAAGGTTGTCAATGTAAGAAGCAATGAAAAGGTATGGTGTAAGCAATCATTTATTTGTACAATTTTCAGCAGAGGCGGTGGTTCTTTTTCTGGTAAATCTTACTTAAGACATATTTGTACCTCCAAACTGCCCTAATTCAGATGGGACAGTCCTGACTTGTGACCTTAGTCCTACCAAACCTGTTGTCTTGCTTCGACACACAGGCAGCTGTGGTAAGCTTACAGAGATTGCTGTCAATGGACTAGCAAACTTTCCTAACAGAAACCAGAGATTTACAGTTGAGTGCTACTGATCTCACTGACAGTTAAATCATAATAGATAAATACAAAAAAAAAGCTGAATCCCTACACTATGTATTTTGGAAAGGGGAAGAAAAAGTAAAAATGGGCTGCTCATAGTCTGAAAGCATCAGCTGATGCACTCAGTCTATCAGTAGCTCCCCATTCACAAAATGGAGTCAATGGGAAACTATGGAATGGAAAACTAATGTTAGGCTGCGAGCTCTCAGTCAATCAGCTAACTGTTTGAAGCTTTCGAACTGACCATTGCCAGACAGAATAGTTTGAGGTTAAACCATTTATTAACCCCCACCAGAGACCTGACATAAAAACAACCTCCAGAAACCTTCTGACATCATAATAACGTCATGCTGATAAAGTTGTCAAAGTGCCCAAAATGTCCCTTCAAAATAAAAAAGATACTTGTCTTCACAGTATACTTCAGAAGGTCTCCCTGTTGCTCCCTAACTAAAAAGAAACGTCCAGTCAGGGTATTTCCATTCCAGTCCGTGGATCGGTTCTTGGTCCATAAAATCTTGCTGGGCATGTGTCTATATGGTATATAATATCCCGAGAGCAGGTGGTAGTGGTACTTTATCTCTCAAAAGCAGTTCCACTCATTTTGGATGAGTGGAACTTCTCTGTAAACTGAACGTGACCATTCTGAGGCTGTTATCAGCTTATACACAGCCTAGTTCACTAGACCAGCCTTTCACAATTGGGGTTCTGCCAAAAATTTTAAAAATAAAATGGCTGCAGTGAGCAGTGGGCAGTGATCTCCCTGCTCAGTTCCCTCGCGTGCACAGCAGTGATGCTGGAGCCGGAATATGATGTCACTCCGGCATCACTAAGAGGCGCACGAGGGAGATGAGCAGGGAGATCACTGCTCCCTTGCCGCCCGCACACCAGCTGCTTAGCAGCTCCACTGGATCCCAGGGACCGCACGCTCTGCCCAGCAGCCCCAATCAACCCCAGGGACCGCATGCAATGGTGTATCCTGGTTTTGTGCTGCCCTAGGCAGGACAAATTTCAGGCACCCCCCCGCGCAACCGCCACCCAACCCTTCCCCCCTGCTCCGCCTTCTAAATACACACACACACATTCACTGACAGAAACGCATTCACTAGCTAACAGACACACACACTCACAGGCAAACACACACTCACTGACAGACACACGCACACTAACAGACACACACTAACAGGCAAACACACACACACTAACAGGCAAACACACACACTAACAGACTCACACACACTCTAACAGACACACGCACACACAAACAGACACACGCACACACTAACAGACACACACATTAACATCCACACACACACTAACATCCACACACACACACACACACTAACATACACACACACACTAACACACTCACTTGTGTTTTTTTTTTTTTTATTTAACCCCCCCAGCCTCCTTACCTTTGGGAATGCTGGGGGGGGTTCTTCCTCTCCCTGGGGTCCAGTGGCTGCAGGCCGGGCAGCGCTAGGCAGGCGGCCGGCAAGGGAGCTCTTCCCCTGAGCGCTCTGCTCAGCTCCCTCGTGCGCCACCAGCAGAGTGAGGCTTGGAGCCGGAAGATGACGTCATATTCCGGCTCCCGGCCTCACTCTGCTGGCGGCGCGCGAGGGAGCTGAGCAGAGCGCTCAGGGGAAGAGCTCCCTCGCCGGCCGCCCGCCCGCCCAGCGCTGCGCGCTCGGCATGTCTGTTAGCCGCGAGGCTAACAAGACATTTGCCCTGGGCATTTGGGGGGCGGCTTTTTTGCCGCCCCCTGAAAAATGCCGCCCAAGGCAAATGCCTTGTTTGCCTCGCGGCTAATACGCCCCTGACCACATACTCAGCCCAGAGACATAGAGACCCCATGTCAGCACTCCTAAAGGTAGGGCTGGGTGGAGTAAAATAAAAAATTGTATGTGTGTCTGTTAGGGAGTTTGTATGTGTTTGTGTGTCTGTCAAAGAGTATATGTGTGTTTGTCAGTGAGAGTGTATGTGTGCTTGTCAGTGAGTGTGTGAGAGTGTATGTGTTTGCCAGTGAGAATGTATGTGCTCTTGTCAGTGACAGTGTATATGTGTTTGTATGTGTGTCTGTAAAAGAGTATGTGTTTGTCAGTGAGAGTGTATGTGTGTCTGTCAAAGAGTATGTGTGTCTGAGTGTATCAGTGTGTGTATCTGTGTGTCAAGGTTTGTGTATGTCACTGTGTGTATCTAACACACCAGCACATACAAACAGATACACACACTTTGACACATAGATACACACACCCTAACACATAGATACATACACACAGATACACACTGTGTGTCACGGTGTGTGTAGCTGTGTCAGTGTGTGTATCTGTGTGCCAGTGTGTGTGTGTATCTGTGTGTCAGATTCATACACACTGGCACATACAAACACAGATACACACACCTTGATACACAGACACATACAAACACAGATACACACACTTTGACACACAGATACACACACCTTGACACACAGATACATACACACACGCAGATACATGCTGTGTGTCAAGGTGTGTGTATCTGTGTGCCAGTGTGTGTGTATCTGTGTGTCAGATACACACACACACACACAGATACACACTGGCACATGCAAACACAAATACACACACCCTGACACACAGACACACACCAGCACATACAAAAAACTCCCTGCTCAGCTCCCTCATGCGCCTCTTAGTGATGCCTGAGTGACGTCATATTCTGCATTGCAAGGAGGTGTCGGTCTTTGTGTGCTGCTGAGAGACTACGCTTATGCCATACTATTATTAAATGGTTTGACAATGATGGAAAAATTTAAATACCTCAAGTTTTAGGGGGCTGGCAGAGCGTTCCTTCTTTTCTTTATTACTTTGTAAAAATGTAAATTTTAGGTACTCAAAGCGGTGCATTACCAGCACAGCATGGCTATTAGCGCACATGTGCCATGTCTCCAAAATCTGAATGTAAAGATTTTTTAACACATGTCAGTATAATACATAAGGGTCTTTCATTAAAATGCTGGAGTGCTCCCTTAGCCGTGGAGTAGCACCAGTACACTCGAGGCAAAATAACCACTACAGCAACCTTGTGTCGATTAGGATGTTAACTGTGGTACTCAAGAGCAATTATCCCACTGACATATATTGGAGAACTACTATTCAATTACAAAAGTGAAGCTTTTCTCTTAAAGTAGAATCTAGTCTCAAATATTTATGTAAAAGTTAGATGCATATGTGTTTCCTTTTACATTAGCAAGGAGCTTTACACAAAGTATGTGCTTTTGGGAGACTCAGGAGAAAAACACTCTAGTGTCATGAACACAAACATGTATTTCTAACACTATAGTTTTAAAGAGGCTGTTTAGGTGACCGCCCCCCCTCCAATCTCAGTAAAAAGGTGATTTTACTTACCTTTCTCACCCACGCTGCGCTGGTGTTGCCACAGCTGACCCCTCCTGGCTCAGCCTCCTCAATGTTAATGATCTCAGTCAATCCAATGCTTTCCCATAGCAATGGAAATCAGCATCTCCTCATAAAGATGAACTGAATCAATGCATTTCTAGGGGGGAAGTTCAGTTTGTCCATGCAGAACGTGGAGACATTCAACGCCAGTGCTGCGCACTGTGCAGCACTGGACTAGGAAGCACTTCTAGTGGCCGTCTGAGTGACTGCACCTAGAGGTGTTCCTAGGCACCAATGTAAGCACTGTATTTTCTCTGAAAATACAGCATTTATAGTGCTCAGTCTCCAGGAACAGGCTATAGACACACCAGAACTAAGCTGCAGTGGTTCAGGTGGCTATAGTGTCCCTTTAAGTTCTAATGCTAATGACATTCTAGCCAATCATACTACACCTCCCCCACCAATTTGCTATAAAACACAGATTTTATGTAAGAATAAAAGTGAACATAGAAACATTATGTAACGTTTACATGTATATCTGAACTTTACTACATGCATTTAAACTGAAATTTATTGGAAGTGTTATTGTCTCTTGAAGCATGTAATATTAAGCCTCACCTTAGTGCTTTTAACCTTGGTTTGACCCACACATCTGCTATGGGAAATGATTGCACAATCTGTAGATTAAATGTGTTAAACTATTCCATCTGCACTTCCACCTTGATTTAAATTATTCATCATTAAACCTTGTTGCCAAATTTTTGTCCCAACTCTTATGTTAAAAAATGTTTTAAAGGTCAATTCATTATTCTTGGTGCAGTGGAAAATATATTGTTCGAATATCTGCACTGTGAAACTCTGGGTAAGCACAGTGTCAAATAATAATGTCCTGTGGCTGACACTGGTTTATAAAGACCCAATTTAAAGACCCATTTAGTAACGGGAGTGGGCACTAGCACAGGGTGTTGATGGCAGATTACAGAGATATTCTATAGATCTCCTCACATTTTTCATTCTCCATAGAAACATCCTAAACCCATATATGCTTGGTGCCGTCATTAGTGGGGCAACAGCAGATTAATAAAGTTGTGTCTTCCACTGTCATCAATGGGGAACACATAGCAAGCAGTGACCACAGACTTCATCACTTTTTTTAAAATTTAAAACATATGGTGTGTTGTGGGTGAGAAAACACAAAATAAATCCCGTAGTGTCCCCAGGGTGAACTAGTAACAAAGGGGCAGAGGATAACCTAACATTAACCTAAAAAGCAATAAATTATTTTGTTGTCCGTGACACCTATTTACTAGAAGCAGTGACTTCAGAGGAAAGGCATATTCTAACCAAAAATATTTTTTATACTTTTAAACTTATCATACTTTTAAACTTTTATACGTTTAAACTTATCACTTAGCTCCCAGATGTCCCTATTTAGGAGGGAGAGTCTCTATTTATATAACAGAGCTACAGAGCAATAATACTCACAGTAATGTGTCTTTAAACTACAATGAATGTGTTTAGAACTCAGTCTGTGTAGATACGATACATTGTTCTTGTTCTAAATTACATTTTAGTTGCCTAAATTGTTATTATTAACTTATCTAAAATTTCTCACAACACTCCCCTGGCCACACACCCACTCACACCCCTAAAATTAAAGTGTCCTACTTTTTCTATTTGAAATGTTGGGAAGTATGCATTATTCCCTTGTTCATTACCCATGAAAACGCATGGTCAGAAGAAAATTGTGGAAAAATAGTGCCCTTTGCACATGTAGGGTCCCTTATGTCTCGGAGGCTGCAGTAGAGGTAAGTGTGTTTATGGCTGATTTAGCCTACAAACCTAACTTAAAGGACCACTTTAGTGCCACCATCAGGGTCCCCCTCCCGCCGGGCTCTGGGGGGAGGAAGGGGTTAAATTTACCTCTTTCTCCAGCGCCTGACGTGGAGCTCTCCTCTTCCTCTCCTCCCTCTTCTTCTGTCACCGGCTGAATGCGCATGCGCGACAAGAGCCTCGCGCGCGTTCAGCCAGTCCATAGGAAAGCATTCTCAATGCTTTCCTATGGACGCTGGCGTCTTCTCACTGTGAAAATCACAGTGAGAAGCGCAGAAGCCCTAAAATCACAGTGAGAAGCGCGGAAGCCCTCTAGTGGCTGTCAATGAGACAGCCACTAGAGGTTGGATTAACCCTATTATAAACATAGCAGTTTCTCTCTGAAACTGCTATGTTTATAGAAAAAAGGGTTAAACCTAGCTGCACCTGGCACCCAGACCACTTCATTAAGCTGAAGTGGTCTGGGTGCATATAGTAGTGGTCCTTTAAGGGGTACTCTGAGGTTTCCTGTTATCCCAATTTGCTTATTTCCTGTAAAACCCACCAATGGTTTGCAGACACATTAGATTGGTGAGCTCCATTATAACCATATACATATATAATTATGTGTGGGCCCTTACAGACCCTAGGCAGTATCTACTTATGTACTGTTGTACAATCTTTGTCAGCATCATGTGGGCTATTTCAAGTTTGCGCCCCATGAAGACACATATTTCCAGTTCTGAGCACAAAGCTCCCAGAGGTGAATGTCTTCCATTTCTTTATATAGTTTATTGCTGGAGGATGCTCTGGAAATCTCTTTCGAGGTATAATTACCCTCTGTCGCTTTAAATCCGTCCTTATTGTAGGAACATTTGCCGGCTTCTGTGTGAGGGGGACAATTACATTATTCCCTGTAGTGTTTAGAGTATCCCAAGGTTCCAATGTTTAGTGACTGCATCATGGCTACACTCATTTGCTTGTTCATTACTGCATCATAAATATTTTATAGTCCTTGTTTATGGAAGGAACTGTATGAGAATTATAAAATAAATACCCATAAATAAAAAAGGTTTTCATGTCTGTGATTTACAATTTTTACTATATTTTCGAATGTCTACAATTTCTGAATTCTCTTGCTGTTTCCATTATATAATACTATAGTCACCAATACAACTTTAGCCTAGTAAAGCAGTTTTGGTGTATAGATCACGCCCCTTCAGTCTCACTGCTTAATTCTCTGCCATCTAGGAGTTAAATCACTTTATTTGTGTAGCCCTAGTCACACCTCCCTGAAAGTGACTTGCACAGCCTTCCTAAATACTTCCTGTAAAGAGTCAACTAAAGTTTACACTTCCTTTATTGCAAAATCGGTTTCAGTTAGACTTTCTTATCCCATACACTGTTAATAGCTTGATAAACATTGCAGGAGTCTTCTGTGTGTGATTAAAATTAAAAACAGAGCAGGCTATAACAACTTATAAAGTAAGTTAACATTTGATTGAAAATTAAACCTTTTTTCATGAAGGTTGTGTGAACACAGACAGGGGAGGCTTGGATAAGGTGGCAACATAAGTTATTTAACTCCTAAATGGCAGAGAATTGAGCAGTGAAACTGTAGGGGCATGATAGTTACACTAAAACTGATTAATTAAGCTCAAGTTATTTTGGTGACTTTAGTGTCCTTTTAAATTCTAAACTCACATTTTCCTGACAATTTTCGCTTTAGTAAATTACAATGTCATATTTCTTTCTAAACAATCATGCTATTTAAATCAATGTAAATTATAACTTTAAGATAAATTAAAAAAATTATTTGAAGCAACTGAACATTCTTTTGTGATGCAATGGAATAAGACTGAACATTTTGATTTTTATACAGGTCTTATTTAATGTAACAATTACAATGGACACGTGTGAAATAGTGGAGGGACGTAACCACATCACACTTAAACCTATTGGTTTCAATGAAACTGTTAATATAAAGATACACAAAGCCTGTACCTGTCTGTGTAACAGCGTGTCAAAAACCAAAGGAAAATGTGTCACGGAAGTCCTGCTAGACTGTCAGACAGCATTGTGCAATGAAGATAGCTGTACACTGGATGAGACAGATCCACCCACGAGCTGCAGGAAGTCCCCCTCGCAGCCGCTGTGCAATGGCCGAGGAGTGTGCTCATGTGGAAAATGCATTTGTCACGAATCAAAACTGGGAAAAATATATGGGAAATACTGTGAAATGGATGATTTCTCCTGCCCTTACCATTATGGAAAATTATGCTGTGGTAAGCAAACATCTACTTGTTTAATGGGGTAGGAAAACATGACATAATGGCTGTCACATAGAAAAAAATAAAGCTTGCACTCTAATCTAAGTAAGATAACCAATAAAGATTGCACTATAACTGAAATACATTAAAGTGCAAGCTTTATTA